AGGAGCTCTCACCAACTCCACCTGCCTTTCTCTCCAGCAGGTGATGCTGAAACTCCTGAAGGAATCGTGTCATCTTGAGCTGTTCAAGTTTATTTCCACTAAAAATACACCCTGCAACTGGGGCACAATGAAGGATTTCTGACAAATGGGGAAGAGAAATAAATAAAGACTCTGGGGCCTTCTGATTCTTCACTGAGTCACCTCCAAGTACTCGCCAGTGAGCTGAGCTTGGAGCCTCTCCACTTGTCACTGTCATCAGTAAAAGCTCAGGCAGTCCCTGCGGTCTGGGAGCTTGTAAGTCTCGAAGCTTGTGAGTCACTGTTAGGAGAGGCCCCTGATGGAGCTGAACCCTGCATCTACCAGGGAGGAAACAGAAGAGCTAGAGGGGAAGTGACTTGGTCCTGGACCATTCGGATGATTATGGTGCAGTGGGGCTTAAAGCCTGCACTCGGCCTCCTCACTTCCCCACCCCCACTCCCCAGTCTTCCTGAGGCCCCACCTGCACCCAGGACCTCTGTCTGAAGGTCCTGTGGCACATCTTAAGGCAGCCTAGGCATGTCAGGGGGCTCAATGAGAGAATCCTCACTGTTATCAATAAAGAATGCTTTCAGCTTCAGGTTACAGAAAACCAGATCAATGGCAGCTCAACCGTAAGGACATTAGTGTTGACTCAATGAGACTATGGAGGGAGGTAGCCTCAGGCTGAGACCGCTGGCTCAGCCATGTCAAGAAGGATCCAAGTTCCCCACTCTACCATTCTGGGGAGTTTGACTCTTCACCCTCAAGTGTATTGCCTCATATCACAAAATGGTTGCCACAGCTCTGGATATCAAATCCTTATAAATAGTATCCAAAGTTAAAAGGAGTTACCTTAAAAAAAAAAAAAAGTTTCCTTCTCTGCCTTCTCCTTGGGTAGCTCTCTCTCTCTATGAGTTCAGTCAAGTCCAACTCTTTGTGACCCCATGGACGATAGCCCGCCAGGCTCCTCTGTCCATGGGATTTTTCAGGCAAGAATACTGCAGTGGGTTGCCATTCCTCTGCCAGGGGATTTTCCCAACCCAGGGATCAAATTCAAGTCTCCTGCACTGGCAGACAGATTCTTTACCACTGAACCACCTGGGAAGCCCCTCTCCTATGCAGGAAGGGAAATGTTCCTTACACTTCATTGACCAGAACTAGGTCCTACACCAATCACTGGCAAAGGGAAATGACATTATCAGGCTTGGTTTAGACCAATCAAGATTCACCTCTAGGGTGACAGTCCCTTGGACAGCAAGGAGATCAAACCTATCAATCCTAAAGGAAATCAACCCTGAATATTCATTGGAAGGACTGATGCTGAAGCTCCAATACTTTGGCCACTTGATGCAAAGAGCCGACTCATTGGAAAAGAGCCTGATGTTGGGAGACATGAAGGCAGGAGAAGGGAATGACAGATGAGATGGTTAGAAAGCATTACCAACTCAATGGGCATGAATTTGAGCAAATTCTTGGAGATAGTGAAAGACAGGGAAGCCTGGAGCGCTGCAGTCCTTGGGGTCACAAAGAGTCGGACACGAATTAGCAACTGAACAACAGCTGGGTCTGGACATACCGCAGTGGCCAAACAGCCAGAGTTCTCTCTGCAGCCCCTCATCTGTGCAATGGGGAGAAGTCATCCCACCACCTGTGGTTCTCATAAGGATCATTTGAAGAAAACACTCTGTACCTATATGAGGCAGAAATTTTCTTGCAATCCTGAGAAGAAAAAAAAGTCTATAAAAATAGACCTTTGATCATTAGCAAAATACCTTCTATGAGAAGATGAGTTACAAGATGTTGCTAAGAGACATTTGTACTGAACACAAAGCTTCTTCGGGAGAATAAATCCAAGGAGGGAACTCCCTGCATTGCACAGAGAAGAGAGAGCAAGAATAATTTGAAGAACTGAAAAACTGAAGAGGTGGCTTGATTCATGGGCTATGCCACTGCGGCAGGCTGGTGCTCAAGGGTGTGAGAGCAGGAGTAGAAAGATTTAGAAGCTGCCTTCTGATTTTCTGGGAAGAGGTGCCCAGGAGCAAGCTTTGCAAAGCTCCGGGGAGAGTGTTAAGGAGAGTTTCGTGGAGGAAGAAAGCATCAGACTGTGAGGCCTGGGATGAGCCTGGCTGACTCAGGGGTGCCTGACTCAAGTTGAACATGGTTGGGAGTCTGGGGGATGGAGGCATCAGGGAAACCCAGTCCCACCCTCAGGCCTTGCCCTCCAACTTCCCACTCTGCCTCACTGAATGACCTCGTCAAGTGCTCCTCTCTAGCGGGGCCTCAGCTTTTCCACTTCTAAAATAGGAGTTCATTTTGTTTTCCATCCTGTCATTCGTTAATCACTCATTTGAGCAAGTCCTTATTGAACTGTATGTGCAGAGGCATGGAGGCATGCAGTGTCAGTGTTGATAACTTAGCGGATTTGCTTCACCCTTCTGAACTCCAGCTTCTTGTCCTGTAAAATGGAGCTGATAATTGAATTTGCCTCATAGATTTTCATGTTGATTGAAAAAATTACTGCATGGAAAGTGCTTACACAGATTTCCCTGGTGGCTCAGCTGGTAAAGAATCTGCCTGTGATGCAGGAGACCCAGGTTCGATACCTGGGTGGTGAAGATCCTGTGGAGAAGGGAATGGCAACCCACTCCAGTATTCTTGCCTGGAGAATTCCATGGACAGAGGAGCTTGATGGGCTATAGTCCATGGTTTCACAAAGAGTAGGACACGACTGGGTAACTAACACTAACTGAAGTATTTATGCAGTACCAGGCACATAGTAAGTGCACATTCAATGTTAGTCAGAGAGAAGTGGACGGACAAAGTCAAAGATATGCATGAAATAAAACTGAATTCTCTTTTCAGGCCTTTTCTGCTCTGCTTCTGCCACAGTTTGCATGGGAGAAGAGAACCTGAGACAGGAGAGATGGCCCCCCGGAGAGCTCCCCTCTGTCACGCCTTTGCCTAAAACGTGGTTGTTTTGCACCTGGTAGCAGACATGGGATCTAAGAGGGGCTTGAGCAAAAAAAAACAAGGAATGGTGTTAGGAGGGAAGAACCCCTCCAGCAGCCCCCTTCTTTCCAGAACTTCTCCCACACTGGTCACGCTCCCTTGCAGAATTCTGGGTGTCAGAGTACTTAGGGGACCCAGGGATCCATCTACCTGCAGTTCCAGGCTAACACATGGTTCACTGGTACCCCACATGGCACCCCCATCTCTCCTTGCCTAGGATCGCCTTCTCCTACCTGCTAGCTCGGGGGAAACATTTCCTCATGAAGGAAGAAGCTAATCCTTTGACTTATGTGATGGGGGAGTGATTCTTAAATGGAACAGTTGTTTCTGGTTAAAATGCAAATGTCCTTGGGAGAGACAACATAGAAAGCTGTAAATTCACTCACCAAAAGTACAAAGCAACCCTTATAAAACTGTGAGTCACATGGTCACAGACAAAGGAACACAGTTCACTCACCAAAAATTAATTCCAGTGTGGCAGTTTGTTATGAATTTAAATATAAACTTACTATCTGACCCAACAATCACACTCTTAAATATTTATGCAAGGGGAATGACACTATGTGTTCACACAGAATTTTATAGGAATATCCATAGCAGTTTCAATCATAACAACCAAAAGATGGAAACAACCCAAATATCCATCAGCCATAAATAAACTGTGGTCATTCACACAATGGAATATTACTCAGCGATCAACAGGAACAAATATGGATACATGTGACCACATGGATGACTCTCAAGCGCTGTGTGGGAAATGAAAGAAGCCAACAACAAAAAGCTAATCACTGATTCGTTGCATGTGACATTCTGGGAAAGGCAAAACTATAGGAACAGAAATAAAACTGGTGAATTATCTTTCATCAAATCAGTGGTTTCCAGGGGCTGGGGGTAGGAAGAGGGACTGACCTGCCAGGAGTATGAGGGAATTTTTAAGGGAATGGAGATGTTCTGTATCTTGACTGTGATGGTTATATGATTGTATCTATTTGTTAACACTTACTAAACTGTTCACTTTAAAAAGCGAATTTTACCTTATGTAAAGTATATACCTCATTAGACCTGACTTGGGTGGGAAAAAAAACAACCCTGTAGCCTCTTCACTTGTTTTTCTCAAACTCTGTGAAGAGAATATACACTCTCCCACCCAGAAAAAAGAAACATCCCCCCACAGCAGACGCCCACGCCCCTCTCAGCGCCCTTATTCTGAGTTTCCTGATCCTGCCTCACAAACGGTCCAGAGATACTCTCTTGGAGGGAGACCACTTGAGAGGCTTCCAAACACCACCGAGGGTCCCGGGGGCTCACAGGAGGCGCCTAGCGATCTGGGGCGAGTGGGAGGCCAGGGGGAGGAGCCAAGTGGGCGGGGCTCTGGGCCCCGCCTCCACACGAGCCGTCCCAGCGCATCGCTTCCTCGATACTGAACTTCTGCTTAACTTTCTGTGGGAAACACAGTTCCGCTCGGTGGAAAAGAAACTTAAAAAGCACTGGACCCGACGCTCCTGTACGTGTTGTCTGTAGACGGTCAGATCAGAAAAGGACTGAAGGAGAAGAGGGAGCCCGGGGATGGGATGGTTAGATGGCATCTGCAACTCAGTGGACATGAATTTGAGCAAACTTCGGGAGACGGTGAAGGAGAGGGGAGCCGGCTGTGCCGCAGTCCGTGGGGTCGGAAAGAGACAGACACGGCTTCGCGACTGAACAACCACAAGCACCATATGTAGAAAGGAACTAATATTCCTTATTTATTCTAATTTATTTGATTTGAAATCACTTGATTTCACCTTCACAGTTCTGCCAAGTGGGGATTATTTAATTCTGTTTTTATCCATAGGAAGCATGGACTCGGGAAGGAGTGGTGACCTGCCCAAGTCACAGGGCCAGTGTGGACCCGCCCAGACACGCATGCCCACCCCACCATGAATGAGCATTGTGGGGTAATCAGTGGTGTCCCCAGTGCAAAATATCTTAAGAGAGGTGTAGATCAACAAGCAGGGGAACAGCGAATCGGAGAGGTGGTTTCTGGCTGGAAAAGAATATTCTGGAAGTCTGGACAGGAAGCCTCCCAGGACCAGGGTAGCAGGAGAGAAAAAGCCCAGAGCAAGTCCTGCAGCTGGAGTGTGTGTTGATGGGGGCAGGAAGGTCATGTAGGAGAGGAGGGAGGCAGGCTTGGGGAGGATGGTCAGAGAAGGGCTTACCTCAACCACCAACTCTCCTGGCAAATAGGTTTCACAGATGCTCAGGATGAACAGAGGGAACGAGGAAAAGAAAGGTCACTGGGTTCTAAGGCCTTCACCATCTGCAGAACACCTGCCTGAGGGTTAGCCTTCTTCCTGTGATTGCCTGGAGCAATGGTCCCCAAGCTGTAAGGGAGGATGTGTAAATAATCCACGGGTGAGTTAAACCAATATTTATTCACCACTGTTCAATCCCAGGGCCAGGGCCAGATGCTTTCACTAATATTAACTTACTTAATTTTCATAATAAACCTGTAAAATAAGTGTTATTATTCCTAAACTCTCACTTGGCAAATGCAGGCAGAGTGCTTATTACGGGCCAGGCACTCCTCAAAGCCCTGGAGATAAAGATGAACAAGACAGTGGAAGGAATGTATCCTGATTCTGGATTTTAATAGCTCTGTGTCATTGGTTGGTTATCTCTCCTGTGCCTCACTCTCCGTATCTATAAAATGGACATAATAATAGCACCTATCTAGGACTACTGATAAGCATGTTAGAAAGCCTGTCATGTGAGCCATCAGCTGCAGCTGATTGGACAGGGGACAGGAGTCTGATGTGGAGGCAGCCAGCCCATTGGCTAGGGGCTAATAATGTAGCCAAAGGGAGAAAGATGAACTGAGCCCCTCAGTTTCTCTTTGTGAATTGGGAGATGCAGAGAATGAGGCCAGCAGATCAAAAACATGTTCACGTGTACCACAGAGCTTGGAAAGAGAGACAGATGCTTCAGTATCCTTGCTATTGAAAGGTACCTCAAATACCTTTGAAGTATTGCCTAATTAATACCTAATTAATTTGCCTAAGTGACACTTCCTACTTACCCAATGCCCTTTGGTTTTCAGTGTATTTTAACCTCCAAAATTGCCTGCAGGCCTGTGAGTTGAGTGGGGAGAAGACACTTTCCTCATTTTACTGATGAGAAAACAGAGACTCCCAGAGCAAAGTGACTGACCACAGAATCAGCCTGTACAGAAGCTGGCACAGAGAGGCAAGATAAGCCCTGGATGGAGCTCTTTCCCCCTCACGTCAGGCTTCTGGATTCAACTGGTACACCAGGTATTAAAAAGCAAATCTCATTGACTTTGCAGTTTAGTAAAAATTAAAAACGTATATTTTATTGTTGACGCTGAGATACGTTCAGGATTGAAAATGTGGCACGTTTTGTTCCAGCCTTTATTTAGTACCTGGTTCAGATCCAGGCCCTATGCACAAAACAGCCGGGGCTGCAGCTCCATCCTCTGCCAATAGAAGGCTGCTGGCACCAGATGAGTAATCCCGAAAAATGGGCAGCCCCTGAGCCCTGCCAGCTTTCTTCTGGGAGGCCTGATGGTCTTTTTGAACCCTTTTCACATTTTAGAATTCCTAAAAATTATTTTTCTGTAGATATTCCTCAAAGTGGGTGTTGGGGAGTTGGGAGTTGGTCTAAGCTTGGCCTCCAAGTTCTACCAGCTGGCAGCTTCTTCCCAGTTAACCTTGTACCCTGGGATCCAAGCACTGCCCAAACCCCAGCCAGGATCACTCACTCATTATTCACTCATCATTTATTGTTGTTGTTGTTCAGTCACCAAGTTGTGTCCAACTCTTTGCAACTTAATGGACTATAGCACGCCAGGCTTCATTGGCCTTCACTGTCTCCCTGAGTTTGCTCAAACTCATGTCCATTGTGTCTGTGGTGCTATCCAACCATCTCAGTCTCAGTCACCCCCTTCTCTTCCTGCCCTCAATCTTTCCCAGCATTAGGATCTTTTCCAGTGAGTTGGCCAAAGTGTTAGAGCTTCAGCTTCAGGATCAGTCCTTCCAATGAGTATTGGAATCAATCAAAGGATTGATTTCCTTTAGGATGGACTGGTTGGATTTCCTTGCAGTCCAAGTGACTCTCAAGTGTCTTCTCCAGCACCACAGTTGAAAAGCATCAATTCTTTGGCACTCAGCTTTCTTTCTGGTCCTACTCTCACATCTATACATGACTACTGGAAAAACCATGGCTTTGACTATAGGAACCTTTGTTGGCAAAGTGATGTCTCTGCTTTTTAATACACTGTATCATTTATTAAGCACCTAGTTTGTTCCTAGGTAGTGCTAGTGGTAAAGAATCTGCCTGCCAATGAAGGAGATACCAGAGACAAGGGTTCAGTCCCTGGGTCAGGAAGATCCCTTGGAGGAGGGCATGGTGTAACCCACTCCAGTATTCTTGCCTGGAGAATCCCATAGACAAAGAAATCCGGCAGGCTATGGTCCATAGGGTCTCAAAGAGTTGGACACAACTGAAGCGACTTAGCGATATGTGCCAAGCGCTTCTCTGAAGGCTCAGACGGTAAAGAATCTGCCTGGGTCAGGATGATCCCAAGAAGGGAATGGCTCCCTGCTCCAGTATTCTTGCCTGGAGAATTCCATGGACAGAGGAGCCTGGTGGGCTACAGTCCACAAGGTCACAAAGAATCAGACACCAAAGTGTTAGAGCTTCAGCTTCAGGATCAGTCCTTCCAATGAGTATTGGAATCAATCAAAGGATTGATTTCCTTTAGGATGGACTGGTTGGATCTCCTTGCAGTCCAAGTGACTCTCAAGTGTCTTCTCCAACACCACAGTTGGAAAGCATCAATTCTTCGGCACTCAGCTTTCTTTCTGGTCCTACTCTCATATCTATACATGACTACTGGAAAAACCATGGCTTTGACTATACGAACCTTTGTTGGCAAAGTGATGACTCTGCTTTTTAATATGCTGTATCATTTATTAAGCACCTAGTTTGTTCCTAGGTAGTGCTAGTGGTAAAGAATCTGCCTGCCAATGAAGGAGATACCAGAGACAAGGCTTCAATCCCTGGGTCGGGAAGATCCCTTGGAGGAGGGCATGGTAACCCACTCCAGTATTCTTGCCTGGAGAATCCCATAGACAAAGAAATCTGGCAGGCTATGGTCCATAGGGTCACAAAGAGTTGGACAAAACTGAAGCGACTTAGCGATATGTGCCAAGGGCTTCTCTGGAGGCTCAGACGGTAAAGAATCTGCCTGGGTCAGGATGATCCCAAGAAGGGAATGGCTCCCCGCTCCAGTATTCTTGCCTGGAGAATTCCATGGACAGAGGAGCCTGGTGGGCTACAGTCCACTCGGTCACAAAGAATCAGACACAACTGAGCAACTAACACACATATGCAAAGACAGCACTAGTTGCTGTGGATATAATGACAACACAAGGATAATGTCTGCATATTCATGGAGCATATAGTTTAGAGTGAGACACATGCATGAATCAATGAGACATATAAATATAAAACTGAAAATTATGTGAAAGTTCAGAGTGGGATGTTTAATCATAAGAGAGAAACCTGGCTTAGGACAGGTGAGTGCATCAGGGAAGGAAGCTCTGAAGACAGGATGGCTCTGTTGGGATCTGGTACCCATAGTCTCACATCCCGCCCCTACACCTACCTAACCTTGACCATCCCTGGGGCCAGAGTCTTTCTAACACCCCCATCTGACCACGCAGGCAGTGGTTCTCTGTAGCCTGCTGGCTAAGATAACATTTTTCACATGACCTTCAAAGTCAGGTTCTTCCAAAGAGGCCAAGGAGCCTATGCAAAAGCTTGGGGATATAAGACATAGAGGATGGCCCCTGAGGCAGGCCTGAAGGTCATCTCTGGAGAGGTGACACCCCTGCCCCACATCCAGTCCACTGAGGCCACGTCCTGAAAAGGCCTCAAACTCACCCACTGCTCTCCCTTTCCTGGGCACCATCTTGGTCCAGGGTTCTTCCTACTGGGAGCTGACTCGCTACAACAGCCCGCTCCCCTCTCTCTGCCCCTGGCCTCACCTTCTTTCCCCTGCAGTTGCCAGAATGCTTTGGGACCCAATGTTGCCCTGCACTGCATCACTGCCCCACTGAAACCCTTCACTGGCTCCCATCACCACTACCACTCAATGGCCCAGTTCCATACTCCTGTAGCACCTGACCTCAACTTCCCCTCCACCCCCCGCCCCCAACCTCATCTAGAATCTTACCTTCAATCAGAAGGGATTATGTGTAGCTGCCCGTGTGTGCCACACTCTCTTGAGAGGCCAAGCCTTTACACTTCTCTTTAAAGGGATGCTCTTCCCCTCTCAGCACCCTTCCCCTTGGGGCTCAGACCAGGGCTTACCTTCTCTGGACACCAGCCTGGGGCAGGCACTCCCACTGTGCTCCTGCGGAACCTGAGGCCCTTCACCACACTCATTGCAATGACTTGTCATCGCCTTATTAGTCTTTCCAACCAGAATCTGATATGCATGAGAGCAGGACCTTGGCCACCATGGTGGCCTCAGTAGTCAGTGCAAAAAATCTGGTGGTGGGGGAATGGCCAGCTGGGGCAGCACAGATGGAGGGAGGGATGGCTGAGAATTGGGTAAGCAGATGGGTGGATGGGTCCATGACTTGATGGAAAGAGGATGCACAAGCAGGTGATAAGAGAGACGGATGGATCAGTGGTGGGAAGCTGGGGAGTATGGGAGCGTGGTAACCAGTGTGCTTGGATTTGAATCCCAGATCTATCTCTTACTAATTTTGTGACCTTAAGCAAGCTATTCATTAAGCTTCAGTCTTTTCATCTGCAAAATGGAGATGATGGTGATCCTGTCCTCATAAGACAGTTATAAGAGTTAAATTAGTTGATCTGAGCTCCCTGAGGTGGGTGCCAAGCTAGGGGGCTACATTAAGGGGAGTCCGACCCTGAAGAGCTTGGACACAGGATGGGGTGGGCAGGTGGAGGTGGTCAAGACAGGCAGGGCCAGCAGCAGTGAGAAAGGATCAGACCAGAGAATGAGGCTTCCTCTGAGGAAGATGGGGCTGACAAAGTCAGGGCAGGAGTAGCCAAGAGTGAAGATGCTGCTGTGCTGGGCACTTCGTCTACAAATATGCAAAGTAGAGATTCTGGTCCTCATTCAAAGGAAGGCAGAGAGGCTGGCCTGGAGGCAGGCAACTGGTGAGGGGCAGAGCAGGGGTTCACATCCAGAACTCTCTGGCTGCTAGAATCTTCCCTCTACCCCACTTGGGCTTGCATGTTAGGGGGTCTTCCATGCCTGGGGCACCGTCATCTAGATCCACTGGTCCAGCTGTGGTGGCTAGGATGTGTCTATTCCTTCTCCCCAAGGTGCCTGGTGTGGGAGTGGGGCCTGTCTGGGAGGGAGGGAGGAGGGGAACGCGTTCTCTGGGAGGTGGAGAGGGAGGTGACTTGATCTTCAGTGAGCAGAGTTTCTGGGCTGGAAGCCACTTGAGAGGTGGTACTGGTGTCCATGTAATGGAGAAGGTGTGGACACCAGATCTGGATCTTGGCAGAAATTGCCTGTCACTGCATTGATTAGAACCTCCTGGGGAGATTCAGTAGCCCCTTGTCGTAGATAGGGCACATGGGGTAGAATCATTGGCTGCCTGGGCCAGGCCAACTCAGAGGGGAGATCAACCAGCTACTTCTCATCAAAGGGGTGGAAAGGAGCTGAGGCGGGGAACGGGTGATCAGGTTCTATACCCACCTCAAACCCTCCTTCCCCAGATTTGCCATCTGCCACTGTGAAGGACTGGGGGGCAAGGAAACAAAACTTTTTGGAGACCTAGAATGGGTGAGGTGCTGTATATGCACTTTCAGAGAGAAAATCCTACTTCATCCCCATGACAACCCTCAGTTTGCAGATGGGGAAAATGAGGCTCAGAGAGACAAATGGCTTTCCCAAGTTCCCACTGCCAGGAAGTTGGAGAACTGGACCCAAGGTCGTTCTGTCCCCAGAGTAGCTGCCACTACCTGAGCTCAGCTTGCTGCGCCCCCTCTCTGGCCCTGAGTTACCCACCCGCCCAGTGATGCTTCTTGATGAGATGACCTCTGAGGGCTTGTCCTGGGCTAGAGCACACTCCCAGAGTCACATGCTCCCACCTTTAGTTCTAGAATCAGGAGCAGAGTACCTGCTTGGAGCTGGCCCTGTGCTGGGTGCTGGGGAGAGAAAACCAAAGACTCTGTCCCCGTCCCCAAGGAGAAGGCAGTCTGGGGGTACGGACAGCTCCGGGGATGGTCCTGGTACCTAAGATGAGTT